ACAGCCGCTGCTACTGCAGATTGAGACATCTTCTACGAATGCTTCTAAAAAGAAGGCAAAATAATTACTACTTGGTCCGGACATTAAGAGAAAAATCTGAGGCAAGTGCCCAGACTCATGTTGTTTTTATTCTTTTGTCATTTTCTGCAGAAACTTACTCTAACACGGGAGAACCGGAAGCGTTATAATCGCACTGCTATCCGAAAAGATAACGGGTCATAGAAAGTGACTGATTAAATTATCAACTTTAGACAGACAACAAAAATGGAGATAATAGAAACAGTAAGGAAATGCAAAAAATTTTCATTCGCCGCAACCAAAGTTTTAAGTAAAAACGAAATAACCAACAGCAGAGAAGCACCAGCAGAAAAAATAATGATAAAATCACATTTCACAAACTTGATCGACAAATGACAAGAAGCGCTAAATATTAGTACAAAGATTTGAACTGTTTGCCTGGGGTTAAAGTTAAACATCCCTAGAATCAAAAACAGGACATCTAAAATTTTCCTGAACAACACAACTTGATGCCAGCTCATTTTTACAGCAAAAACCAAGAAACAGCAAAAATTCAAAGCTTCTTCAACCAGTCGTAAACGCTGCTTAGGCCGCAGTCATCAGACGATTCCTTTGGTCTGCATGAACAGTCGCAAAATGTAATTTTCTGAGGCAGGTCACTGAACGAGAAGTCGTGACCTGGCTGACTCAATAGATGCTTCCGGTTCAAATCCGAGGAAACTCCAGCGACTACCGTAGTGTCTAATGCCGCAGCTCTGGTGCTGCTGAGGATGGTGAACTCTCTTTCCAAGTAGGTCTACAAAATTTACAGGATTAAAAATTTATATCTGATATATGAATTAAGGTACTGAACTTTTAAGAGGCAAAACTAGCAACGGCGTAGTCTACTTGACTGTCAAGTTGAAGGTGAAAAATAACGACATAAGTCTCTTTAAAGGTAATTGGTGTTACAAAAGGGTACTCTGACCAAAATTAGGAAAAAAAGGACCGCAAGTCAAAGTCAATATCGATTTCGTAAGAATTTATGACGAACCCCAGGGAGCATGTGATGAACAGCATATGAAACTTGGTTGAAGCAGGCGACATTCATTTGTGTTATAAATTTGATGTAACCCTGCGGTTTACTCTGAGAACCAGAACGATATTCACTGAACTATACAAACTGTTGAATATTTATGACCAACATCTTTTATTCGATCATGCACAATGCACAATACCAAACTCATAATGAAGATGAAATGGTGAACGACATAAAAAAACATTAACTGTTCCTTAAAACTTAAAATTATAATCAGACTGAGACAAATGCAGTTTACACTCGCACATCCACGACACTTACCAGAAGGAACAAAGACGGCAGACCACCTCCAAGAATATACACTCAACCGTGAACGATATAATGAAGGTGAAGCACTCCATTTTAGTCACTGACACCGGATTGAAGCGGAGTAAGCACCTGCCCCTTGCACCTAACTTCCTAAGGGCCCATTTAAGCAGGCCACGGCTCCATGGTATTTGAGCACCTACACTGTATGGACGCAAAACCGCATCAATAGGCAGGGCTGAATAAAGACCTGCCCAGAAACCTACAAACATGCCATGATCCGTTAGCATATTTATAAAAAAACCTAAACTCGATCTTACGGGTTTACTAGCACACAGCTGTATATATTATCCAGGCGGAGGTATCGAAAACTAGCAGTACGCTAATAAACCCATAAGATCGGGTTCTATTTTCTGTATAATGGAGAAGCACTGTTGCATGAGGGGATTGATTCTTTTGTTCAAGATTTTAAAATACAAATTTTAGAAAACAGAAGAAATCTTTACATAATTCAGGCTCCGATTTTTCGCTACGGAGAGTGGCAAATGACGAAATAACATAAGAAGACTGTAGATAAGAAGTGTACAACTGCATCGATCGGATGGCCTGATAAAAACGGTTACGAATTAAAATCACCGCGGTCAAGGAGCTCTTTATGCTTTTGAAGCAATTTCCCTACGATAAAGACAATTCAATTAAAAACCTGGAGAGAAAGTGTGGGACAGTAAGAAGCGGAAACAGTTTCATTAATTTCTCAAAAACTCATGACAATTCCATATAACACGCCGCCTTATCTACAATCAGGTGAAGAAGAAAGCCTTTGAAAGAAAGAGGGAAAGATCTGAATGATGCCTAATGGATGGTATTAAAAACATAGAAGGAATAACAATTCAAAGTTATCTGGAAAGAAAACACCTGAAAAATTTGACGCAATCACTTTTATATTCGTGAACGTTCATTCATTAACCTTCTCTGAAAGAAGGGTGATATCTGTCATTTGTCCTGTAAGACCAACTGTGGCTGAAAACGACACAAAGTTACGATACATGCAATTTTTTAAATTATTACCTTAATAACTTGGCTAGACTTGGCCGTGGGAATGTCCTGCTTCGAGCAAGCTATGAGCAGCGAAAATCGCTTGCCTCGTTTCACCACCTCCTTCGTCGACAAGATGTCGTACAGAAATTCAGCTACTTCTCTGCACTCTTTCATAAACGAGGAACTATCCACTACAAATATCATGTACGGCACATCTTCCTTCTAAATCATATCAACTTAAAATCATTTTATCGAACAATTCCAAAATGGCATGATGAATAGAAAATACTGCTTAACTTTTAACGCGCATAAGCAGCTGTTCATCCCTGATAACAGCAGTTTCAAACTGCGTCTACTCTGCACAGATACAATACATACGATCTGCCTAACGTTCAGACCACATTCGACATTCGATACATCTTTAAGACCATAACACATGAATGATATGCAAAAATAAATAAACTGTACGACAGACAGGTCAAGCGGGATCTGAAATGTCAGCATATGTACATATCATATAAATGTATATATTACACAGTTATGCATTATTTAAAGCAAGAAATTCGTTCCTGGAAACGACAACACTAATCGAATTGGCGTTGTTCCGCCAGTTTCATACAGTACTTATGCAGATGTATTATTAAAACCGAAACTTATAACCATTTTCAAAACATTGGTACAACTACTCTTTTCTCTGATACTCTCTCATACGACAGCGATAGCTCCTATACACTGACGACATTAACTCTGACCAACTCAAGCCTGATCGTTAAACTAGAAAATGTCATTGGCCATCATAACTCTGTTGTCTTGTAAAATGATGAAATTATGACAAGCCTACGGCCATATCTATATCCATGCATTTTTCATACAGTTGCGAGATATCGTTCCATGCAGCGCTGATATTTTTTATCGTGCTCATAATGGTCAAAAATTTTCAGACATCTCCAACTCACTTGATTTTTCACATAAGTTACCCCACGTTAATTTTACAAAGATGCATCGCAGGTAACAGAGCTTGAAACTTGCCATGTCGTGCTGATGCATCGGTTGAATAATCCCGCTTTTCCCAAGGAACAGAATTTCATCAGGTAATGCACTCGCTAAGGCATCCAAATTTCCTGGAAGATTAGAGACGTTGTCGAGAATTGAAAATTGCTGTGTTTCAAGTTATTAGCATCACAACAGCCAATCACCTTGAAAAAAAATTTAAAATCTAAAAAAAAGTTATTTCAGCCATGCTACGCAGTAGTGTAAAGGGCCGATACATCTTAAAATAGCCTATTATTCTTCAAGCAAGGGTTTCGACATAAAATCAGTTCGGAACATAATCTTGGTAGATGTCTTTGGCAGTTTCAAAATTTAGATCATGCTGCACTTCTCACCATACGAAAGGGTAAGACAGCATTCTCTTCCCATGATGACTGGTTTTATTTGCATTCAAAACATTCCGTGGTGGTAAATTTATTCGCTGCTTGACAATATGCATTTGCCGCTTCACTTTGTACCTTTATGCTGCACAGGTTACTCCGACATGTAAATCTATAACATTACAAACGAATGGCTCGAAATGTTTGTCGTGTTCATCCTTTCCCTTATTTCTAAACATTGGCAAATAAGCTCACTGACTTTTCTATTATAGTGGAGTAGTTCAAGGGCATATGGCCTCGATATTGTCTGATTCAAGGAACATACCATTTCTACAAAAACTGCTTGTTGAACAGAGTTAGTTTTTTCTCATATAACGCAGCAGTAGTATGTGCAGTAGTTGCACAAACAGTTCAATACCCTT